ATATTAAAGAAATAAATTCACCACAATAATTAAAATCACGATATAATTTTTTTTGTCATTTCATGTCCCGTTCTGTCAAATCGTTCAATTATTGTTCATAATCATAATTTTCGATGGCAATGTTTCTTTTTGCTATGAAATACGCATTTCGGATTAACGCCCGGTTTGAAATAATTTCTATAGATTTAGGAATTAAACTCTTTGTTCTGCCATCGTCTTTCTTTGCTACGTAGGTATGATCGTCAGATTAATATGATATTTTATTGCCGATAATTTGGTTGACCTATATTGGACGTGGGAGGATCTCTGGCTTTTGGAATTTCCATTGACGACGTGCATGCTTGAAGTTCAAGGTCAACGCCGCCATCTCTATCTTCAGTTAAATCTCGTTTACGTTTCCTGGTGTCATTCTGCGAGGTGTTCAAGTACTTGACTTTTTGATGGGTTTCTTAATCGACGAGTAATAATTAACTCTTTGTAATCGGCCGAAAGTAGATTGATTTATGATAGTGGCCGGTTCATTGTTTTACCAATCGGCCTGATAATTAATTCTTTGTAAATCGGCCGAAAGTAGATTGATTTGTGATGCCTTAGTGGCCGGTTCATTGTTTTACCAATCGGCTAGATTAAAGATCAATCGGCTAAAGCTGACAAAAAACAGCCGATTAAGATCCCTGGTCCAACCCTTTTAAATCTACAATAACAATGCTTGTTGATTACCTTAGTCAGTCCAACCCTATTAAACATACAGTAACAGAGATTGTTGACCACCTTAGATTTATCCAACTCTTTTTAAACCTACAATAACAAGGCTTGTTGAATCCCTCAGATCAGTCCTTTTAAACCCACAATAAATAAAAAGGCTTGTTGACTCCCTTAGATTAATCCAACCCTTTTAAACTTGTTGATTACCATAGATCTACCCTACCATGTTAAACATACAGTAACAGAGCTTGTTGATCACCTTAGCTCTATCCCACTCTTTTAAACATACAATAACAAGGCTTGTTGAATCCCTCAGATCAGTCCAACCCTTTTAAACCTACAATAACAAGCTAGACTCTGTTAGATCTACTCTACCCTTTTAAAACATTCAATAACAAGGCTTACCTCAGATCTATAATGCTATATATTTGGTTCTGTGAACTGGTTGGGGTGTACGTAAAAGAACCCTTGACAGTTGGAATTAGATGAAGAGTAGGTGGAAACGTGGCTGTCCAGGCAAAATTTATCATCATAGAATGTCTTCATTAGCCTTCTTGGTGCACGAAAATAGGACCTTAAATTTTGTTTCATTCTAAAAATTTGGAACAAGATATGATCTTTGATTTGTTCTTATTACAATTTATTTCCTTCCTCTCTTCCTTGTTTTATTTTTTTCATACTACTGTAGAATAAAATAGAATATATATTTACCATTTGAGTAGAATATAGTTTTATCATCTGGCACCACCCAACTATTATTATTTGCACCATGTTTTTATTTAAGGAAATGGCGTTTGTTCATGGGGTAAATAACTGCATGTATATAATTACTGTATGTTATGTTGACATGTATTACATCATGTATATAATTAATTACTGTATGTTATGTTGACATGTTTAATTAACCATATATTACATCATGTGTATAATCTTCATTAGCTTGTATATTATATTAAAATACATGGGTAATAGTATGTAAGTCACGTATATATATAATTACATGTGTTACAGTTAACATTACATGTTATATAATTATATATTGTACAATGTTTTATAATGTTATATTATACAATGTTGCAGTACAATGTTTTATAATATTATATAATTATATGTGAGTTACTACATGTGTTATAAAATGTGTTACATTGTTATATAATAATGGGTGTTATATTGTGTGTGTTACATTATGTTATTTGTAATGTTTTCACCATAGCCCAATATGTTATTTACATGTGGAACTCTGGTTTCCCCTTGTCAGTTCTGCACGTTAGAGAATCCGGCAAATAGTAGCGTTTTTTCATTTGGGTAACATCCCATGTCCACATTGCCTTCAAAGTTTGAATTTTCCTCATAGCACACTACATGGTTAGTGTAGAAAAGTAGGACTTTAAACCCCATTTCATTTCATTTTGTTAGTGAAAAAAAGTAAGATGTTAAACTCTGTTTCATTTCATTTAATACAGTTAACGTGTATTGTTCATACCGTGTTGGATGTTGATTTTTGTGTTCAAATTCTGTTTTAAATTTAAAAGATATAGATTTCGAAAATATGATTATATGATATTAATTTTTCTTTCGTTGAATTAATTATAAAACATAATTAAGACATGTATGAGTTAAATCAGGAATTATCATGAATTTATCAATAGATTTTGTTACATGTAAAATTTGAACGATGAAAAATAGTTACATTTTGAAATATTCAGTTGATCTATTCTGAATGTATGTTATGTACAGAAAAGAGTAATTCCATAATCTTTTTTTAGATTCCAGAGAACCTCACCGCAGACCATTTCAATTCACCGACAGCACTGCCTGTTATCAGAACATCCGATGTACAGCGAAGTTTGGATTATTTTACTCCCTGGTTGGAAGCAGATAACAAACAACCTTTTATATTGGTTGGTCCAGAAGGCTGTGGAAAAGGGTACATGTCCTCTTCTGTCTTGTTTTTTTTATTAATTTGACTTATTGATTTTGATTATTTTATATTGTATATCTTGTCATGGCATATAACTCAAAATAAATTATAAGATAAAATTTAAAAAAAAATACCTTGCCTTTTGTGTGTTGACTGGCAACATGTTCTAGTATTGTATATACATCCAAAACGCTCTATATATCATGATAACAAGTGTTTAATTTCTCGATCACTGTTCAAAAATAAACAACCCAATTGATAATTGACAATTAACTTTTGAACAGAGGTCCAGAAATGGAACCCTCATTATCAAAATTAAACGGTCAACTTGAAACTGGATACAAATACAAATTAGATGATTTGGGGAGTTTTTAAACGATTTTTACAAATTTTCAAAGAAAGAGTTGACATCACATGAATGCGAAAGAAATTAGATCTAAATTTGCAAGATTTAATAATATATGGATTTCAGTGATTGCTTCAAACACACTATATCTCATGGTAACAAAAATACCTCCAAATAGGATTGATCTCAGCAGGCTCTAAAAGATTTATATAAGAGTTTAATATTTAATTAACTAGACTTTAAAGTAGCTTAGGATTCTGGTGACGCTGGGATTCTATCTTTTTTTTTCAAGTTTTTCATTCTTTCCATTGAATATATTTTCAGAATATTTTTCGTCATAGTTTGAACATTTCTACCCAGCATCTTAGGTTCTGGTGGCGATGGGAAGCTTACTTGTTTTTTGAATGTTGTTTATTTTCTCCATTGAATATATTTTCAGGTTATTATTACGTCATAGTTTTGAACATTTGAGATCAACCCAGATAGCGGTGGTACACTGTAGCGCTCAGACAAACCCGAGTCATATTCTACAGAAACTGAGTCAGACATGTATGGAGATCAGTTCTAACACAGGCCGTGTTTTACGACCAAAAGATTGCGAGCGATTGGTTCTGTATCTTAAAGATATTAATCTACCGAAACCTGATAAGTGGGGAACTTGTCAGATGATATCATTCTTACAACAGGTAAATTGGAGCCTGTTTCACGAAATTTTAACTAAGATAAAATATAAATTTTAGTAATTTGATTGGTTAATACTAGATTGATTTTAGTGCTTAGCCAATCAAAATTGAAGTATATACTAAAATTGAGATTTTATTGTTAAGATTTTGAGAAATAGGGCCCTGGACACTACTGTGGCTCTGTTAATATGGCATGGTTTATTAACCAGGAGGGTCAGGGTTTGATCTCGGTGTAGGCGGAGAATGTAGTTTGCCCTTGTCATTGCTACAGGTTATAGTACCTGACCAGTTTGGATGGGACAAAAAAATAATGAGGTCCTGTGTGCACATTGGCATGCACGTAAAAGAACCCTTAAGTAGGCGGTTGCGCCTCTGTCCCAGGAAAATTGCCCTCACAACGCACTTTATGGAGTGAGTCTGTCATTATCCTGCACTGGTTCAATTCAGATAATCTTATTTATCTTTAAAACTAATGTATTTAGAAATGATACAATTTCTAATATTATTGGGAGACTTTTTGATTTACCTTCAGAATATTGAAAAAATTTTAATGCTGTATTATAGTGATAGGAGGAAAAAATGATAATGTAATCAAGATTCAATCTGCTACTTGTATGGCCCCCGTTATGAGTAATAAGATTACTTAGTCGCAGTCACAGACTTGTGTTAAGCTTGGTACCAATTTTATTTTACTTTTTATTATTTGATAGGTCATCATTTACAATGGTTTCTATAGTTCTACATTAGAATGGGTCGGTTTAGAGAATATACAGATAGTAGCCAGTATGAACGCCACAACAACACTGGGCCGTCACAAACTAACAACACGGTTCACTTCTATAGTTAGAATCTGTGTTGTCGGGTAAGTCAGTATGATAGTAGCCAGTATGAATCCCATCACAGCACACACTGTGTGAGTTAAATTGTCATATTATGTTTGGATAAACTCATTTTGTTCTGATAAATTTGCCAAAATACATTTATTGTCAGATTGTCCTGATAAATCCAATAGCAAATGACAAATTGTTCTGATAAATCCAAACAACAAATTGTTCTTATAAATCCATCATCAAATTGTTCTTATAAATCCATCATCATATTGTTCTGATACATCAATCATGAAATTGTTCTGATACATCCATCGTAAAATTGTTCAGATAACGCAATCATCAAATTGTTCTGATTAATTCTTCATCAAATTGTTCTGATCAATTTATCATCAAATTGCCCTGATACATCAATCATTAAATTGTTCTGATAGATTCATTATCAATTTTTTTCTGATACATCAACCATCAAAGTTTTCTGATACTTCCTTTATCAAATGAATTATTTTTGTTTGTAGGTACCCTGATCAGGAACAGTTACAAACAATCTACGGAGCATATTTACGACCGATATTACATCGACAGTTATCTGATCATCCAGTCTGGGGTAATAAGTCAAAAGTCAACACATTAGCAGGAACTATGGTACAGTTTTATGAACAGGTAATTATCATCTGGTTCTTAACTAGAAATAAAAATAAATTAAAACAATTGAACTGGTCATCCAGGGTGGCTGGGTGACCAAACTTGCATTAGAAATATCAGTAAAAACTATATGACAAGAATGTTACTTTAATTTGACCTTCTGTAAAAATATAATTTTCAAGGACAGGTGAAAAGTCTTTACAAACTTTGTAAAACATTGTTCTTGATGGAGCATGACTATTTTTGGTTAGTGGATTATTAACCAATCATCGGTCAAACATTGTTGAAAATTTATAATTCTTTCGTTGATAATCGTAACTTATAAGTAAACTTGACATTTGCAGAAAAGCAGAACATTAAACCCATTTTATTTCAAACTTGACGGTATTTTTAATGAAAATAAAACTATTTCTGTAAGTTAAAAAGCTTTTCTTTGATTCGGTCATCTGCAGATGCCGACGATCATGAGTAGAAAATGATTCAGGATTTACATTTACGTATGTGTGAGACATTCTTCAATTATTTTTGTTTTTCCAGTTACGTAGTAAGTTTACTGTGGATGATTACAGTCATTATTTGTTCGCTCCCCGTGATCTAACCAACTGGGTGTTAAATCTTCTCCGATACGATCTACGTTCCGGAGCCAGTGAAAACTCAAGTGACACACTACTGGAGATCTGGGCATATGAAGCACGTCGACTGTTCCGAGACAAGATCGTGGGATTGGATGGTAGAAATAAATTTGATAATATTTTGATGAATGTTATACGTACGGATTGGTCAACGAACATTTTTGATGGTTTGGACAGTACGTTCTTCGTTACTTGGGGAGCTAAATCTGATTCAGGAGTCCCTGCTGTAGGTGCTGGAGCACCCCTGCCCATATTTGGTAAACCATTGGGTAAATTATCCAGTGAAGATCTCATGGCTGTTGTAGATAAAGGAGTTAGAATGTATGGTAAGTTTTGTAAAATATTCTCTCGGGTACTAGTTGTATGGCATTTATTGTCCAACTTTCCTGCATGTACCAACCTGGTTTCCTTTTTTTTCTGACAGATTTTTTTTTTTGGCCAATAAGAAAAACATGCTTTGATATTTTATTTTACATATTTAACTACATAATAATTATATATTATGGGCCTACATAACTCGCCTGGCAATGTTTTTAAAAGTCGTTTCCAAGATTTTAAAACTAGTTTTCTATAAAAACACTCAAATCTAGACCTTTCCATGAACACACAAAGTTTAATCACTAAACTTATATATTTATCATAATTGACGGACAGGGTCAGCAGCATTGGAACCAAGTAATCATGTTCAATTAAAATCATATCGGTGGTAATGGGCTCTGTCCTGTTACATTTGTTTGTGTCAGGAGAATATCTCATAAACTGTTCAAGATATCTTCATGAAATTTTTTTGCTATTTCCATGAAATCACATTTTTGATATGCATCTATTATTATCGAGCATATCTTCATAAACCATTCATGATATTCATGAAAATTTGTAGACTTTTGAAACAAATTTGTTTTAAGTCATTTTATATGCAAATAGACATAGGAATGTTTATGACTGAGTTTTCTTGTTTTTCTTGCTTTAGGTCGTGAAAATCGTGAGTTAGATTTATTGATATTTAAAGAAGTTTTAGAGAACATGGCTCGTGTTGATCGTGTCCTTACTAAACCTGGTGGATCGTTGTTGATGGCTGGTCGTAGTGGTGTGGGCAGACGCAGCTCTGTTGCTGTGGTAGCGAACATGCACCAGATGGATTTCTTCTCACCCAAGACATCTCGTGGCTATGGTTTAAAACAATTTAAAAACGACCTAAAAACAGTAAGTTAAAGCTAAAGTTAATATGGGGCCTAATATTTCTAAGTCAAGATGTTTAGTTCAAAATTTCAAATTTTTGAACTAAAAGCTTTTGAAGAACAGATAATAAAATTGGTATGACTTTGGGGTAAATATTTCTGTTCGATTGCACAGGTAAATTTGTTTGAAAAAAAAAAAATACTAATTGATATTCGTTTTCATATAATGTCTGACATTCAACTCCAGGATTGGTAGCTACAACATTGTTTTCTTTCACTAAAGACCACATATTGCACTTGTAATAAATCACAGTCCTCCTTGCCAGTGATGCAGGACGGAGGGCCTGACAAGGACAGCTGTCTAGTCGTTTGGATGGGACAAAAAAACGAGGTCCCGTGTACACATTGGTGTGCATGTAAAAGATTCCTTGACAGTTGAAATTTGATATAAGAGTAGGCCGCAGTGCCGCTGTCCGGGCAAAATTTCCCTCATAGCACACTGTATGACGTATGCCCATCTTCATTAGCCCAGTTCGGAACAGAATAGTAGGACGTTAAACTCCATTTAATTTCAATAAGCTACAGGAGTTTTGTATACATTATTAGCACACTAACAATCATGGGATATTTTAATAAAAAAAATTGTTACTGTATTAAATGTAAATAAATCAATTTACCAGTTCCATTATCCTTAGTTTTTATATCATTAACCAGGTGATGCAACTGAGTGGTATAGAAGGTAACCAGGTTGTCATGTTACTGGAAGATCATCAATTTGTTGAACCACAGTTCCTCGAATTAATCAACAGTCTGTTGTCGGCGGGAGAGGTTCCTGGATTATATTCACCAGAGGAACTGGAACCCCTGTTGACTCCACTTCGTGATATGGCATCTGAAGCTGGGTTTAGAGGAACTATGGTCAATTATTTTGCTTCTAGTAAGTGGAGAGTAGATGTAGATAATTTTGTCGTTAGCCAGTGAAAAAATGCAGTTTTTGTTAGCAACAGAAGCTATGACTTGCTGTCAATAATACAATTCCATGAATGCACGACACAGAAATGATATAAAATGACTGGTTAATTAAAAAACAAAATGATAGACACCATTGACAAGAGGAAACCAGACTAATGATAATGAGGAAATTTCTCTGCAAACAGCAGGAAAACACACTTGGACCACTGTTAATGGCCCAGTGCCATATTCACTCAGTTGCTGTTACTCCCACTGTAAAACAAAGTAACTCACTTGCTGTAATAGTCTTATAATATGTTTGTAGCTACAGCAATGCATGAACAATGCACGGGGCTGACCCCCCCACAAAAAAACAGAACCCATAAATAATTGTATTAAATCCTACAACGGTCTGTGTACAATCATTCCCCAAAGTTTCAGTTATCTTGGTCGCTTTCCATAAAAGTCATGTTCTTTCCAAAATATGCTCCAAATGGCCTCCACGGCATTAGAGGAAAACTGCACAAAGTTGTCAATTACTCCAATACATTCCTCTTTGGGGATTTCCCTGATTATCTCAAGAATAAGGTGTACCAGAACAAGGCTCAAATGTTTGGTGAACCGAAAGCAGCAATCACAGCAAAAATCAGACTTCTGTTTTTTTGGGGGTCACCCTGTATAAAAAGATTTGAACTTTGACTTGAAATTACAAGCTAGTGAATGAATAATATACATGTATATAAAGATTTGGCAACTGCAAGATTTGTCCTTTAAATGAGTAATCAGAATTGAGGTTTGTTTTATTTTCAGAAATCTTATCGAATCTGCATATAGTACTAGTAATGGATAACACAAACACATTATTCACGTTAAACTGTGAGAGTAACCCTGCGTTTTATAAACAATGTTCCGTGCAATGGATGGAGGGGTGGAGTAGAGAGAGTATGGTTAAGGTAAAATTAATTGTTGATACTCACACTGCAATGTTTGCATTTATGTTTTCATAGCAATAGTTTAGCAAGGAACTCGACAAAATTTGACAGATTTCAAATGTTGAACAATTTTGTCTCTGATATATTAATTCTGTGAAATCAATTGATATTCAAAAAAAAACAAAGAGAATAACACAAATATATGGATTTGATAGATTAATATTTACGAGAAATCTTTAAAATGGATGAAAAGATCAGCCTTCAATGTGACGACTAACATTGTATGTTTGGCTGTCCCTTAAATAGAATAGTATAGTACTAACCAGGTCCCTGAAAAAAAAAAAAAAAAAAAATATTTGTATCACCAGGTCCCTGTAATCAAATATTATGTTTATTCCCCAGGTACCATACATGTTATTAACAAGACCACCAAAAATAGAAGGGGGGTCCATCGGTGAACCCAAACAAGGTAAACGGAAAATATCAGGAGGTGAGGAATTGTTGAAATGTTTTTTACAAGTTCACGAATCATGTGACCCAATCAACTCGACACCCCGACGTTACATGGTGTTCCTGAACACCTACCAGAAAGTCTACAACACAAAAAAATTCAGCATCGAGAAACGACAACAACATTTACAGGTACGTAGATACTTATATCAATAAATTTATTTCGGCACAATAACAATTTATAAGATCGAAAGGACTAAACTGCTTTACTCATCATTTAGCGCTGTAGAAAATCCTTACAAACTACTATATTGAAAAAGTTTAATCTCTAATATGAATCATAAGTTGCAAAAAGGATTAATTTCATTAAGTATTTACAAAATTATGATATGAAATTTCATTGATCTATGCTGCTCGCTATGACAATACTCTACTATCTTTATTAACAGTGTAGGAACCTGATGAGCCTAGTTTATATCTCTTTGAATCCATATCAGGAGAATATCTAACGTTGATATTGTCATTTTGTTTTTTCCAGTATTCACAACAAAGTCTATAAATTTTGTCATCTTCTGAAGGTTTCTTCTTAAAATTACAATATAAAGTTTCCCAACCGATAAAATTTAAGCATACCCTATCGCCTAAATGACCCTTGTCTATTTTCTAGGCTGGTGTATCGAAGTTAAATGATGCCAAAAAACTGGTAGATGAATTGAAGAGTAAAGCAGCAGAACAAAGT